TTTTAATTTATATAAAATTTATAATATTAAATATATTTATTTATTTAATAATATATAAAAATTATATAAAAATATAAAATAAAAAATTTATCCCTATAATACTGTTCAAAAAATAACACCGACGTCAATCTCCAACTTAATACGAAAGGGTTCGATGGAGAATGTCCTCGTTGTTTGTGACCCTACTTTTTTTTTAAGACTTTTTGTACTAAAACAGTAAAACTTGATAGAGGTAGAATTCAAGGTTCTCCCACGTTAAGGAAAAAGATCGAAAGGGTTCGATGGGTAGATCCCGACCGAATTTCCCAAAACCCGGCGGCGTCGCCATATAACAGCTAGATCCTGATAGACTCTCCCAAATTCCGACGATCCAAAAAAAAAAAGAATCAAGAAAAATACAGAAAAGTTCCCAAAAATTTTGCAAACAACACAGAACCTAATATAAGAGAAATCACATCCAAAATACCCACAAAACGCCTTCAACAATGGCAATACAACAGATCTAAATATCAACAAAGTTGGAGTAAACCCAAACTTTATTTCTATTTTTTGAAAGATATTGCGTGAATAATAAAACAAAATTCATAACTAGAAATCGAAGCAATCTCTGGCCAATAATCTCTTGCACTCCTTTCTTCTTTTTTCTTTTTAAAAAATTAAATTAAAAATTAAAAATTAAAAAATTAAACATGCAATAAGAATATAGCTTAGAAAAATTCATATTTTTTAAAGAGTAACAATAATTTGCAATTAGAATTTGAAAACAAACTGCCTTTTATGGGATGTGGTAATAGCCCGAGGATTTGGCAGCAAAAGATTTTTTTTTAATTTACTATTAAAGTGTTTTTAAATCAATTTAATTTTATACATTTTAAGATTAATTTTTTTGGAGCAATGATGAGAATAAATCGCATATTAAGGAGAAAGGTTATGTCAGGGGACAAGGCAGCAAGTCACCAGGATAAATATTCAGAGGGATTTTCTAACAGGACTGCGATCCGTGTGGTGAAATTTGTGCTGCGAATGCACCCAGTGGAATTTGAAGCCTCTTGATTTGCTTAAAAAGATAATAATTTAGGAGAATTTTTTAATATTATTTTTTAATATAATTTAAATAATTAGTTTTTTTATTTATTTAAAAGTTATAATATTAAATGCATTTAATTTTTTTAATAATATATAAAAAATATATTTAAAAAACTGTCTATTTATCACTGTCTATTTCCTTTCTAATATGGAAATATTTAGGATGCATTTATTACATTTTTTTAGCAATTACTCATTATATTTCACAATAATAATATTTTTTTTATTTCTTTCAAATAAAAAACTCGGGGACATGAGCTCACAATACTGTTACCTAAGCCTATAACTACATGGCAATTACCATTTTATCTTAGGGTAATTATTGTATTATTAAGAGCCCGTTTGGTATAATGGTTTTGGAATAGTGGTTAACGGTTTTACCTAAACCGTTAAATATAGGTGTTTGATAAATTTATATATTTTGAAACCGTTATAAATAAAGTATTCAGTAAAATTTTTATTTAGCGGTTTAAGATTAGCAGATAGCGGTTAGAATCCAAACTGTTAGCGGATTGAAAAAACTAGTTTGTGTAGCTTTTTATACCAAATCGCTAGCGGATTAAAATATTTTAATTTTATTGACAAATTTATCTATTTTAATTTTTTAATTTGTGGTCATATTTTTTAATTAATAATTATCTAATAAATTTCAATTTTGTTTTTTTACCTTTAATAACATTAAGTGATTATAATATTTTTTTGTACATTAATTTATAATTAAAATATATATTATCTTAAAAAAATTGGTTAATTAGACAAAATGATTAATTTTTTATTTAAAAATAATATAATCTTTTCTTTTTTAAAAATAAAATTGAGAGCGTAATTACATTATTATAATTAATTGTATTTATTTTTTTATTATTATTTTCATAAAATTAATAATTTTAATAATAAAAAATAAAAATAGTTTAAAAAATACACTTATTTGTTTTTAAACATGTTCTTATTAATTATTTAATGTTAAACAACAACCGCTAATTATTGTATAGTCAAACAATTATATTTATCAAATCCGTTATTTACTATCCGCTACTCACTTTCCATTATCTATTATCCGCTATCTGCTAATCGCCATCTACTATTTATTAACCGTCACCCACTACCTACTAATGTCATTTGTTATCCGTTAAATTTTAACTATTATATCGGACAGACCCTAGATAAAAAAAATATTTTAATATAAAATAACTCAATTTCTCTTAATCAATAAAATATAAAGATGAGTAAAAGAAAATAACAATCGATTCATGTATAGTTTTTTACCATAACTCTATCTTTCGAAATATCTTTATTTAATTTTTTATCTTTTTCTAATTTTTCTTCGCTCTTCAATCAATCTATACACTAATTGAATTAATGACTAAAGTACACAAATGGTCCTTTCAATTGCACTAAAAGCAAAAGTTAACTAAATTATATTAGGATTTAATGATTGGGTATTTTGAGTAGATTTTTGTTGGCTGAACTAACGAAGTCGTCCGTACATGGGAGTCCGTAAATCGGTTAGAATTATTACTAGGATTAGGAGTTCTCTTTCATAACAAAGATTTTTTCTTTTTCTTTTTTTTTTTTGTTTTATGGTCTTTCATAACAAAGCTAGGATTAGGAATATATATATATATATATATGTAAATTAGGATTAGGAATTTAGATATATATAAATGCATTCTTAAACTGGTGTTTGGTATGATATCCGTCTACTACTTCGATAAATATACCAAGCTTTTCAGCCTCCAGGGTACTTTTCTCGATCAATTGAGATTACAACTTGAAAGCAATCGAATATATTGACTAATTAATGGAGAAGGAGCAGCAGCCCCGGATAGCATTGCGGCTGCAGCCACCACCACCTCGCCGGGATCCATGGCTTGTTCAGATCCACGGAAAGAAAGAAGAAATACAAACTTTTTTTAGTGTATCTGAAGGTCGTTATCACGTCAAAAGCATTCCTGAAATGCGTGGGAAGAGAATCTGCGCAACTTATCAAGGCTGGTTGGTTTTAAAAAATTTATATTTCTTAGCCGATTGCATCTTGTTCAATCCAATGTCTCTGCAGAAATTCGAATTTCCATCATGGGAAAATACTCCCTACCACATCTGTTTGCTCACTTCGCCTCCTGAACAACCCAACTGCACGATCTTGCTCATTGGTAGTAAAAGGATTATAGGGAAGTATTATACTGTTGAAGGTTTCAAGGTAAGCTTTACGTTTTGGCATCCTAAAAATGACAATTGGATTAGAAAAGAGATTAATTTCAGAGAGAAAAAGATTAACGCTGCAACGTGTTTCAATGGAAAGATCTACATGCTCGATTCTCTTCATAATCTCTTGTTGCTTGAGTTAGAACCTATATTTGGAATAAGGGATGTAGGGGTGAGGAGGCTAAGAGAGGGTGCAGACAAGGAGCGAATCGGGTTCAAAAGTACCCTAATAGAATCAGATGGCGAGCTGTTTGCGGTCTTAGGGCTGTGTCACCCAGATTTTGATCAAATTTTTGATTTTGAAATTTACAGACTCAATCTTGATGAAAAGGTGTGGGAGATAGTAGAGAATACTGGGGATCGTGTCTTCTTTGTGGGTTTTGGTTCCTGTGCTTGGTGCTGGGGAAGTGAAGCAGGAATCAAGGGCAACACCATCTACTTCACTTATGAGAACGATCGATGCCTCTATGAATTTGATGTTGAAGAGAAGAGTATAACTGTCACTTTGCCTTTTCCCAACGTGAAAAATAACTGGGATGAAACCGCCCAGTGGGTTTTGATGCCTCTTGTTTAGATAATTATTTCTTTTGTTGTTTTTGTCAAAGTAAAAACGTTGAATAAAGAATAAAAAATATTCAATTAAAGGTCTTGAATGCTTTATTTCGAATGAGGATTGATTTGTAAAGTGCAGAAACAACACCAGAAGTCCTCAAATCTTTATATTTCAAAGAGAATTTGTCCAATTTTTTGGCTTAACCCCCCTAACTCTAACCGTCTATCTTTAATAGCATTAACTCTCAATATATATTTCGTGTGCTTTATCCCATCAACTTGACACTATTACTGTAATTGACCTAAAATAGATAAAATCCTATCACATAAGTCATATGACCATCACTGCTCAGTTACTTTACCCTTGCTAGTGCCATACTAACGTAAATATGGGTCTATTTGGATCCATAGAGGCAACAAGACAAATCTCACCATATGTGCTCTGAGTGAGATTTTTTTGCCTCCATTAATCCAAGAGGACCATATTTATGCCAACATGATAATGACGAGTATAGGGTAATGGAATAGAGACAACATGTGACTCACATGATGGGAATTCATTTGTTTTAAATCAATTACAATAATAATGTAAAGTTTATGAGTTAAAACACACCATGTACATTGAGGGGCTAATGACCTCAGAGACAAATAATTAGATGGGTTTTGTCGGGTGAGGGTTAAGTCCAATTTGTACAACCATTAACATACCAAAACCACAGATAATGATGTATAGAAAATATAAGCACAGTTTTTTAACACAGGAAATAAGATTCCGCTCATTTGTGCACAAAAGGAGATTAGGTAAAGAAAAAGAATCAAAGTGTATGCCATGATGACTGTTTGACTCACAATCGCGGATTGTGAGTAGTAGTCTCGTAGATGCAGAATGCAAACAAACCTTATAAATTAATACGATCTGTACATAACCGAAGTAAGGTTTTATAGAGATACTAAAGCTCCTCAGCACAGAGAAAAGATAATTCTACTAATTTGTACTGCATGATGATAGAAATAGTCATTAACATATGCTTGTAGATACAGCCATAAAGGTATAGTTTTTAAATGCTACCAGATCTTTTTGTCCACAAAGATAAAAGCAGGTGGCCGAGTGCCCTAAACGCCCAAGCTCGGCTAAACCTTAAAATTCAAGCAAAGTATGTCCTCTTTTGATAAAGAACAAACAAGTTGTTTCATCAAGCAGCTTTATTCACTGAAAAAAAAAGTCCTATGCATCTATCCTCTTGCATTATCTGTTATATCCAGAAAATCCATACATATAGTGAGTTTTCAAGAAATTCTTAATGAACTAGCCTTAAATTTGACTTTGGCAATGTTACTAGATCTTTGTTCATGGATTTAAACAGGTTGCCAAGATCCCTTATGTCCAAGCTTGGCTAAACCTTAAACATTTGACAAGCTGCTGCATATTGTTGTCGTAGTCTTGTAGATAAAAATTGAAAACAAACTTTCCCATTGAAAATAAAAAAATGAAAACAAACTTATTGATTAATCTGATACGTACATAACCATACATTTTATGTGTACTGACCTTTTCTCAAACTTGTGATGGGTAATCATGCAGACATACAATCTCCTCGGCAGAGTGCAAAGATAAATTTAATAATTTGTTCTGCATGAGCATGACAATGGAAATAATCATCAACATTCTAGACAGTGATACAAGTACAATGTAAGTTGTTCCCACACAAACACTAGGCAGCGATACAAGTACAATGTAAATTTGTTCACACACACACACAAAAGCACCCTCATATCCAAGATAAACTAAACCTTAAAAATCAAGCAAAGCATGCTTATTCCTTTTGATAATGAACAAAATAGTGCTTCTTAGGCAGCTCTTTTCACTTAAAGCCCTATGCATCTATCATCAGGATTTAAATTATAACAGAGGCATTTATTCTTACAACAACTTCATCTGGTGCTTGCCCTCCCCTGCTTCCTCTTCTCCTCCCCTTTCTCACCGCTTTTGTATCATTTCCTTGCAAATAATAATGGCATATGCTAGTCTTCATATCTAGTCCCATAAGAAATTTCACAACAGATTATTGCAAATCAAGACAATTACTAAGTTATTATTCAAAATCAAGATATCAAATATTTCATAGGCTGACTAAACATCCTGCAAGAGGGTTTCAGATTCATTAACAATTCTTTGCTAAATATGGCAAGCAAAGGGGAAAAAGAGCAACTGCAAAACCAATAAAGATGGGCAAATTCTCATAGCGCCTCTGGTCAAACCAGATGAAGAAAGGGGACACAAATAGATGAAAGGGAACCTCAAATATGACAGGAGACTGCAAAACTGAAGCTCACAGCAAAGCATAGGAAAGGTATGCTTTTCAGAGTCAATGAGATGAAAGTTCTTTGTCAATGAATTGCTAACCCCTTCCAGCAGGCCCTGCAGCACCATTTTAAAATTACCACAGGAAGGTGAATATCATGCAAGTTATGACCTGATTAAAAAGAAAAGACAATTTGTCATGATAAGATTCCAGGTGGTGATGTCGATAAATAATAAATTTTAATTTCAACATTTCAGACATCCCTAGTTCCAGATCTCAAACATAAGGGATACTCAACACATACATAATGATAATAATAATAGATATGAGCACCAGAAAGATATCCCTTGAACAGAGACACAGAATTAACACTTGTTGGCGTTGGGCTGACTTTAATTAGCTTTGAAAGGGCTCTATTAGCATTGTGTTAGACTACCAACCAAAGCATGCTCATAAAAGCAGAGAAAAAAATCATAAAACTAACCTGGAGAAATTCAAAGGACAAAATTCTCGTCTTCACAGTTACCTCATCAGTGTCTTCCTTCACACCCATCTGCAGACATTGTACTGCACTAAGGGAATCTCGAACAAAACTCACAGATGCTAGGAAAACTGAGAGAACTATAACAAAACCAACCTTGCAGAGTGTGCAGAATACTAGTAAAGCATCACGTTTTCCAATACTCATGCTCTCAAGGTCAATCTCTATTGAGAAGTATCAAAGTTGTTGAAAGTATCAGAGTCGTGGTACCAAATATCCAAAAAAATTGGAATAAAAAGGAGAAAAGGAAAAAAAATCAACCTGAGGACATGAAACTAGAATCTTCAATCATGTGCATACCATCTAATCTTTTTACCATCCTCAACGTGGACCACTTTGTCAAGTGCAGCCTTTAAACCCTGTACACCACGTAAAAATACAAAGATAAGAACATGATACACTACATGAAAGAAGTAATAAAGATAAAAAGATAAACTCATAGAACCAAACACCCAGCATAGCGTACATGGTAAAAAAAGCTGAGGACAGTGGCACCACAACGAAATAAAATATTAAATAAGAATTGACCAGGTTGGACCTCGATGTCAGCACCACCAGCAAGATTATGGATTTCCTCAACAGATGCAATGGTGGTGCCTTTAACCTAAGTGCGTCTCCTAAAGTCATTTCTTTCCCATTTTTTCAGCTAGACTTCTCTGCAGAAGCAGTTGCTGTATCAGTATGATCTGAAGGAACAGATGAAGAGAACTGAACCTGCAAAAGACATGATGATCTTTCTTCCTCCAATAACAGAATAACACACTAAAATTCAGAAATTTAAATTTCAAACCGGATCAGTCTCCATTCTACCAAATATGATACTGATCATCTGTGTCAGCATTGCCTCTAACATTGCTTGATTTATTGGACTCTTGCTACAGATTCAAACTAGAAAATATGAGCATGACTTTAATATGGAGTGTTGTAACCCTCAATGGATACAAATTTTACCTATGGAGAGCAATATTATAGCATACTCCGATAACTCCAAGCAAAGGTTCCCCATGGACTACAATTTGGATTTACCAAAGTCACAAGATCAAATATATAGGAAAGAAATAAAAGCTAACCCTCCAGGTTGCCACCATGGTACCAGAGTCAAGTACAGCTATTTAACTTCTTGCGTCCAATGAGATATTATATAAAGCAAGATCTGAATGAAAATTTTATAACCCTTTATTCCATATACAGATTTCTCTGCCCTTATGCCAGACAGAAAAACGTTGTTTATTTTGATTAATTGCATAAGGGTAAAATATAATGCTTCGCCAACAACACTCTCTCTTTTCTTGCCTAATTTCAAGAACCATCTCAACAATGACTCTGCAAGAATATCCCAAGAGAGAGTACACGAACTTGATTCATACAAACCAGTCAGAATAAATCAGAAGTCCTAAAGAGAAGTGAGAATACTACATTGTTACTACTCAAGAGCCAATGATTATGATAATATGCCCACCTATATCATCCTAAGTTCATTACCAATTCACTCTCTTTTTATATAACAATAACATGGATCACAGCCTAATGTAAAGGTAAGATAGGGAAATTAGTGCAACAGATGACTTCATCTATAAAAGAAATAAAACAAAAAGGAATATCTACAATATCCCTAACAATGTACCTCCGAATTTTGTGGATGCCACTGCAGTAAGAAACAGCTTAAGACTTGAAGTATTGCACTGCACATTTGTTTCAAAGATCAAACAGGGATAACAAGTAGCATAAATTATGAAACAGATTACTAGCACAAACCAAAGACATACCTATCAGAAGACGAACTATCAACACATTCAGGATCTCTATTTTACATTTTTGTCCACCATCTAAACCAGGATCTCCTTCCAAATGATCATAGGCCAATTAGTTTCTGCCTTGAAATTTGAGCAGCAGCGGTGGGCGGGCCCAGCAGGCGACTCGTCACCAAATTCTAGCGGCCAGCCGGTAATCCAGTACAATATCCCCTCCAATCCACTCATCACCAGTTTCGTTCGACCTCAGCGAGCCAGTCGGAATGAGTACTGTCCGTCACAGTAAGAATCAAGCGGCGAGCCTCCGATCGATTCCACTCAGCGACTCATTGATCTGAGAGAGTCAGGCAGAATGAGTACGCTCTTCCCTAGACTCGTCACTGGGAGAATCTAGCGGCAAGCCTCCAATCGATTTTACTCAGCGCGACTCGTCACCGAATCTTCGACCGCCCAGCCGGAATGAGTACGTCGTCATCCAGCGGCGGCCGAGCGTCCAATCGTGAAGAAAAATAATATATATATAGATTTTCTGATTTTTTATTGGAATTTATTTTCCATGTAAGACAAAACAATAACGCGAAAAAGAACAAAGAAAAGTAAAATGGCGACAAAAGGTTCCTCTCTTTCCATTTTATTTATTCACATTTAACATGAACCGCTACCAAAAAGCACTTTCAATCTACCTTTACCATCTGTTTTTTTGGTTAGCCACAAGAAAATATTACTTTCTTCCTCTATTGTTTTTGGTTCTTGAGGCTTTCTTCTCATCTTTCTCGGTCTGGCCGTCGGCCTTCTTCTGGTTCTTGCATTTCTTGGCGTTCTTCTTCTTCTTCTTCTCTGCTTGGCGCCTCATTTCTTCCTTTTCCGCTTCCTCTTCCTCTTCCTTCTTCAGTCTCTCTTTCTCTTCTTGAATCAGAGCCTTTTTTTGTTTTTCACATTTCACAAGGTGGAGGTGAAAATCCCTGAGTGGAACGAAGAACTTTCCACAAATGTCGCATCGTTGATCAATTTCCGCACTCTCTTTCATCTTTTCATTTCTCTTTTTGTGAAAAATTGGCTTTTTTCCCATGGCAGAGGAGTGGATAAGAGGCGACTGTAAGGAACGAAGATCAGAGAAGGGAGAAAGAGAGAGGGAGAGCAGGAAAGGAAGTAACGCCGGAGGAAGAAGGGGAGGAAGAAGGGATCGAAGAGGCGGGAAATTTCTTTTTCTCTGAAGATTTAACAACTCCCGTTGATTAAGGTAACCGATTAGTCCACGTCACAAAAAAAGCAACAGAGTATGAAGCAAAGACTGATGGAAGTGTGAATTTTACTTAGATACTCAGTTATTAATATTTTAATTATGTTAAATGTATTAGAGTCATGTGATGTAATCGGTCTTTTTGTACTTTGGTAGATAGTAATTTGAACCACTCAAGTTTGTACAATGTGAAAAGCAAGCTCCATATGTCAGTAAATGATATAAGATGAAGGTGTATGGTTACATATGTCTTCCATGTTTTCCCTCAATTTCTCCTCTCTGTTTTTCCTCTTCGAGTGAGCTTTCTGTGCGTATCTTCTTCTGATCTCCATCAAAGACAATTGACACCACCACATAGAGAACCTGCTTTAGGTCCAAACTTGCCACGACAGATGTTGTTGCAGCTATCCTTTGTGCAACTGGTGGTGCTCTATGAGCTGACACGAACCTTTCCTTGTGCCATTACTTCAGTTGTTCCTGAAACCATATTCCACTGAGAGTTCAGGCATCGCAAAAAAAGCATTAATTTTTGAGAAGACAAAAGATAAACGAGAGAAAGTTTACTAGCAGCAGCAAAGAGAAAAGTGAGCATAAGGATGATGAAGAACTTGAGGCTTATGGCTTGATTTCCTTTCTTCTTTTTAAGAAACTTGACGCACCTTGTTTTTTCTCCTCCTCCCCTTTTCCGTCTTTGCTCTGGTCCTCTGAATCATTATCTTCATTATCATTCTCTATCACTTCACTTGGCGAATTCTGCTTCATTCTTCTCAAGAAACTTGCCGCACCTTGTTTTTTCCTCACCACACTTTCTTGCTTATCCGTTTTAAGCTCCAAAGTATCATGAGAGCTAAGCTCGTTGCCACCAAACTCATGCTTTACCTCCCCACTCTTGTTGCTTGTTCTAGAGTTTCTCTGGCCCGTTACTGATCTTTCTTTACTCCTTTTCTTCCTTATACCCTTCTCATCAATCCCTACTAGAGAACCATCAACCTTCTTCTCATTCGCCTTCGGCTTTTCCTCAACCTCTCTCTCCTTTTTATCTCCCTTCTTACTATCATTCTCGGTTATTGCTTTGATGGAACTGTGCTTACCACAAGCAACCATGGTGGAAGACTTGGTAGGTTTTGAAAGCGAAGCCCGTTGTTTGTCAGGTTCAAATTTCACAGAAGTCGCAGGTTCCTGTACTGGTTTCGTGGGCAACAGTGTCATCATTTCCTTACAGACCAATTTCTGGAGCTCTTGAGCGGCAATATGTTCCTGAGAACTTTTGTGGTAGAAAATGGTGATGTTGTTGAACAAAAGTAGGAGATCTCTAAAGAACTTCGCGGTACAATCGGAATACAGCCCTTTCTCAAGTCTGGATTGTATTATTTGTAGGTCTACGTGCTGCCGAATCAGTGTTTTGTAGCTTTCTGATTCCTGTTAAGTAAAAACAGAAATATTAGCTCATTTGTTCTGATGGAAAATAATACTACTAGTTTATCACAATTTCTTCAGATTTAGCTAGTGATTCAGCGCTACACAGCTAGTAAATCTTCTGGATTTGGAAGAAAGGTGAGAAACGTGACAGGAAATGGTTTCTTTGGATTTTCGAAGAGTACAAAACTACCTACTTATCCTTTTTTGGACAAAGGAAAAAACAAGATCAAAAAGATTGTTCGGTCATTCCGATGAAATTGAAGGGTTGGATGGTTCTTGTGTTCCTAACCAATGGACTTTCCATAGGGGGAAGTATGACCGCTGGTAAGAGCATTCTATAGGTGGTAAACATGCAATAAGGATCATTTCTGGTGGTTTTGGCCCAATAGAGTGTGAGCTGCCCAGCTGGCGGTGTTTTTAGACAGCGACCGGGATGACATGTTTAAAAGGCAACAAAATCAAATTATTTTACAACAAATGTAATTACAGTATTATTACTTATTATAAAAAGGAAACAAAAATTATCATTCAAACTCAAGAGACATTGTTTGTATTTGATAAAATTTTAAAAATATTTACTTAAAAATTTAGATATGATATGTTTTTAAATTAATTTTTAAATTTTTAATAAATTTTTAAATTTTAAAAAAATTTATTTTTAAATAAATTAATTTTTAAACTTTACTAAACACTCACATGGTATCACTTTGCATTAAAAAAATAAAAATAAAAATAGCGAGTTGGTGACCACATGATCTACATTCTACAGTCAAAACCTCTGCCTCAACCTACAGAAAATAGACACCATCTATCATCTATCATCTATCATCTATCAATATCAATATTAACTCAAGGTGAAGAAAAAAAAATCGCTATATTAATTAATGATTGTTTTTTCGCTAATAAATATGAATGAAATAATAAGCAATAAGATTGCCCGATGCAAATCCACCACAAGGCCAACTACTAAACTGCCTTAAGTGAGGGGTTTGGACTTTTAAAGGAAGAAATAAATCATAAATTAAGTGATATTAATAACAGATTAATTAATTCCTAAAACTTTTTTCAATTTTTTTTTTCTGAAAAATTCTAATGTAAATGTGAAGTTTTCTTAAAAATAAAAAAAATAAAAAAATAAAAAACTCGAGTGCAGTTTTGACCTGTTTCCGACTTTGTCCCCCGTTCTTAAATTTTTTAAGCGGTTCTGAAATCATTCTCAAAGATGTATAACCATTATTAAAACAAGATGAAAAGAAAAAGGTGGTGATTGTGATTAACCAAAAACCTGATTGTAACATTTTATTTTTTTGGGTTAAGAAAGAGACAACTTAACTTCTACCCTACGCCAAATTAAGTTATTTTTCAAACCTATATTCAAAAAATTGAAAACATCTAAAACCAATTACCGTGCCACGTCACCAATTACTAATCCTAAAGCATGAGTTTGGTGGCAACGAGCTTAGCTCTCATGATACTTTGGAGCTTAAAACGGATAAGCAAGAAAGTGTGGTGAGGAAAAAACAAGGTGCGGCAAGTTTCTTGAAAAGAATGAAGCAGAATTCGCCAAGTGAAGTGATAGAGAATGATAATGAAGATAATGATTCGGAGGACCAGAGCAAAGACGGAAAAGTGTGGTGAGGAAAAAACAAGGTGCGGCAAGTTTCTTGAAAAGAAGAAAGGAAATCAAGCCATGAGCCTCAAGTTCTTCATCATCCTTATGCTCACTTTTCTCTTTGCTGCTGCTAGTAAACTTTCTCTCGTTTATCTTTTGTCTTCTCAAAAATTAATGCTTTTTTTGCGATGTCTGAACTCTCAGTGGAATATGTTTTCGGGAACAACTGAAGTAATGGCACAAGGAAAAGTGAGCATAAGCATTAATAGTAGGGAATGCCAGAAGAACGAGGATTATGCCTATGGTAGTTTACACTAAAGTAAGCTCGAATTATTTAGGTTATATTTAATACTCTTATAATTTTTTATATTTTTTTTAGTTTAAAAAACTTTTACAACTATTAGAAATTAAAACTAAAAATTTGTTTAAAGATAATTTTAAACTATCAACTAAAACCATAAACATGTTCAATAGATTTAAAATTATTTTTGTTATTATTTTTTTCTAATAACTATAATAATATGTTAAATCTTGAATAAAATTAGTAAATGTTAAAAAAATCAAGGATTCCTAGAAGAAGAAGATGGAATGAAAATCCAAATCTCATTAAACTGAAATTAAACTAGCCTTTAAATAGACTTTACAAGATAACATTATCTAAAAAGATAACTAGTTAATTTTATCTAATCTAATTTAAATTTAAATTATAACAACCTAAACCAAATAAATAACTGAAACTTCTTAAATTATAGAGATAATGGCTAAATAATAGGATCTAATTTCCGACAATCCCTCAAACTAAAAGTTTTCAGACTTCAGTTTAAAGAAATCTAGATAACACCATGTCTGCAATCTAAAATTTGCAGACCCTTCCTCAAACTGGATTCTGCATGCTGCAAACACCAAGCAACTCTCTCAGTTTTGAAAATACTGCTATTTTGAGGGGTTTTGTGAATATATCAGTCACTTGATCTTCTATTCTACAATATGTCAACTCAATTGTTCCATCTTCTACCAAGTTGCACAAGAAATGATACCTCACATGTATATGCTTGCTTTTCCCATGTAGAACTAGATTTCTGGAAAGCTTGATAGCTGAACTGTTATCACAATAAATTGAAGTGGCCTCATGTTGATTCAACTCAAGTTCTTCCAGAACTCTTCTCAACCATATAGCTTGACAAGCACAAGAAGTCGCTGCCACATACTCTACTTTTGTTGTGGACAAAGTCACAATGGACTGTTTCTTTGAAGACCACGAAACTACCCCAGATCCCAACATAAAAACAAACCCAGAAGTGCTTTTTTTATTATCTAGATCTCCAGCAAAATCACTGTCTGTAAAACCTGCATGATCTATTTGGTCACCCTTCTTGTAGAATAGTCCAAAATCTATAGTTCCACGTAAATGACTGAGAATTCTTTTATGCAAGTGCAACTCCTTTGGATGCTCCATATATCTGCTAATCAAACTTACACCATGCATTATATCTGGTCTTGTTGCTGTCAAATACATCAGACTTCCAACAATTTACTTATACAGTTTGTTGTCCACAAATCTGCCTCTTAGATCTTTCACGAGCTTTACACCTTTGTCAACTGGTGTAGTGACAGAATTGCAGTTCTTCATTTGAAATCTGTCCAGAAGTTCCTGCACATATTTTTTTTGACAAATAAAAATTCCAGAATCTGACTATATAACTTCCAGACCAAGAAAATAATGCAACAAACCCAGATCTGTCATATCAAATTCAAGCTTCATAGACTGCTTAAACTTTTCCAACATGCCAAAATCATTCCTAGTATAAATTAAATCATCAACATATAAGCATACTATAGTCAATTTACCTTCATCTCCAAATTTGATGTAAAGTGTATGCTCATAAGGGCACTTTTGAAAACATTCCTTCAAGAAATAAGCATAAATTCGACTATACCAAGCTTTAGGTTCCTATTTTAGTCTATATAATGCTTTCTTCAATCTGTAAACCTTATGCTCAAAACTAGATTTCACATAACCAGGAGGTTGATCAATCAATACATGTTCTTGCAGAGTTCCATGCAAGAAGGCTGATTTCACATCAAGCTGGTGGATCGGCCATGAGTTCTGTGCTGCCAAAGCAATCACCAATCTAATGGTGTTCATCCTTGCAACTGGAGCAAAAACTTCTTGATAATCAATGCCAAACTCTTGCTTGTAACCCTTTGCCACCAAGCGACCTTTGAATTTGTCAACCTCCCCATTCTCTTTGAACTTTGTCTTGTAGATCTACTTAACACCAATTGTCTTGTGCCCTTCTAGAAGATCTGTCAACTTCCAAGTCTGGTTCCTTTCAATAGAACCAATTTCTTCTGCTACGGCTTTTTGCCACTTTTCTTCTTTAATAGCCTCTTCATATGTCAAAGGATCACAATCTGCAATTAGAGCAAAATGAGTAACTAGAACATCATCTTGAGGTAAATCTCTTACCTCATAATCCTCCAACCATGTTGGTCTTCTCTTTTTGCATTGAGGTCATGAACTAGTTCTAGATTCTGGTTCTAGTGTTGTTGGCAGACTTCCTCCAATACTAAGTTTTGTTGCTGCAAGTAGACTTTCTTCAATTGTCTATCTAGAAACTTCAAGATCTGCGAAGTTAAACCTCCAATCTGCTTTGTCTGACCTTTTGAGTTCTGCATAGTCAAATCTTTTCCATTTTCGAAATCTACAGAAATTTGTCCCCTAGATTTTTCTATCCAAGAGCAAGTGCTTGCTTCATCAAACACTACATCACTACTAATGATGACCTTCTTGGTTAAAGGATTGTATATTCTGTAAGTTTTGGACCGATCACTAACACCAAGGAAAATACACTTTTCCCCTTTGTCATCAAGCTTACTCCTTTTTTGATCTGGCACATGTGCATATGCTATGCACCCAAAAATTCTGAAGTAGTCAACAGCAGGTCTACGCTCACTCGAAGCCTCTTCTAGCGTCCTATCTAGAAGTGGAGATGTGGGACTTTTGTTCAAGATATAAACACTCCAATTAACAGCTTCTGGCCAAAACTCCTTAAGCAAACCACTCTTTGACATCAGACTTCACACCATATTCATGACTGTGCGATTTCTCCTCTCACATACACCATTTTGCTAAGGTGTATATGCTGCTGTGAGTTGTATTTTAATACCATTGGACTCACAAAAATTTGACTTGGTTTGCAAAAAATACACCCATGTTTTGCGACTGTAATCATCAACAAAAGTAATAAAGTATTGTTTACCTCCATTTGATGTTGGATTTATAGGTCCACACAAATCAGAATGAACTAGATCTAGCACCTGCTTTGCTCTCTAAGATCTATCTTTAGGAAAGCTGTCACGGTGCTGCTTACTAATCACGCAGATTTCACAAATTTCTAAAGAAGAGTCAAAAATAAGGAAGACCATTTACCATTTGCTTTTGTTACAAGGCTTTCAACCCACCAAAATAAATATGTCCAGATCGGCAATGCCATAACCAAGTTGTGTCCTTCAATCTGGCAGATGAACATGATAGATTTGTGGTCTACAAGTATAATGGAAACAAACTATTTTCCGTCATCTTCACATTTGCAATCATGCCAAGCTTTGAATCACAAACTTGGCAAACTCCATCTTTAATCAAGATTTCATATCCTTTCTCCTAAAGCTATACCAGACTAAGCAGATTTGACTTCAAATTTGGTACATACAAAATATTAGCAATAGTTTGAATTGAATAGTCTTTGGCACGAATGGTTACCTTTCCCTTTCCCTTGACTGCAATAGTGGAATTATCACCGAACTTCACCTTGTCTTGACAAGACTCATCCAGATCTGAAAACGCAGATTTGTCTCCACACATATGGCTGCTGCAACTAGTATCCAAATACCACACATTCTTGCTAACTTCTTTAGGATGACAGACCATGAATAAAGAGGAATCATCATTCTTCTCATTGTGTTCTGCAAAATTGGAACTTTCTCTATTCATATTAGCATGGCACTCATAACGATAATGGTCATACTTATGACTTTTAAAGCATTCAATATTTGCCTTGCCTGCAAATTTGGATCTGTTATCTGCAGCTTGATAATTTTTGTTTTGCCACCTCTTTTGATTTTCAATGGCTAAGCTTTCCTCCATTCTGCCAGATTTCGATCTACCTTTCCAGTTTTCCTTTCCTTGACCTACAGCACTTGAATTTACTATGGTCTGTAAGGCTTGCGTTTGTGAAATATGTTGTCATACCCCAAAATTTCCTAGAGCATTAAGTTGAGTTAGGGACCCAATGGTGAAGGAACATTATTAATGCACCTAACTGTCAATTTTTCAAACTTTAAAGGGGTTAAAAGGTTATTGGATAAGGCCGGCTGACTCATTCCTTTTTATCTTTTTCTTCTTTCCTTCTTTCTTCCAGCCATTTTCGCATCTGCTCTGTTTTCTTTCCCCTCTACAGCCGAACACCACCAGCCTTCACCAACACCTACTCCTCCCGAAAATTGGTAAGATCTTGGTAAATTCTTTCCCTTGTCTTGTTAAATAACAAGATTTAGAGCTTAAAACTCTCTCCCTCAACCCAAGAATCCCGGATCTGCTCTGCGTCTTCCTCCCTTTGCCGTCCGCGAGCTGCTCTGCCGGTGAGAGTGCTCCGGTTTTTGGTAAGGGAACAACCATGAAATTATCTCTTAAGCTTTGACTTATGTTGGGTCACTCTAATCTTGTTGTTCTTTCAATTGCTAGTGGCCTCGTGAAAGTCCCCCAATTTTTCCCGCTAGCTCCTCCCCATGCCGCCAGCTCCAACCTTGCTTACTGAGCATTTCTGGTAAGTTGGCTTCTCTAATCTACGAAAATTGGTGGATTAATTGTTGTTTGTGAGTTAATTGGTTGTATGAAATGAGCTTGGGTTGTCCGAAAATTCTGTTGAAATAGGGATGAAGTTTGGCGATTTGAAAAATGGATTGGTTGATGATTTAAGTAGAAAATCCTTAATTTGGCTGCTATGTGTGTGTCCAAGAAAAAGGGAGGAAAAATTCTGTGAATTGGCCATTTTTTTGTCAAGGCCGGTTCTCCCAAATTCCTATCCATTAGTTTGAGAAATTGTATATCTATAATTGTGTAATTGTGTAATTGTGTTTACACAGATATTAATTGGGAACATTATGATTAGGTCCTTGATTGTCCTGTGGCCTTAGCACTGGGATTGTCCTGTGGCCTTAGCACTGGGATTAGGCCTTTTGTCCTGTGTAATTAAGGTAAGTAAATTATGGTAAAGCCCGTAAATTTCTGAAGCATATTTTAATTGTTTTCTGAGATGGTGGCGAGGCTTAAATGGATTTTAATTGCATTTGAGCATGATTAAAAAGGGAATTTGAACTTTCATTATTTTCCTTATTTTCTGGAATTGAGCATGATTGGAAATTTAAATGAGAATTTCATTGTTTTCTGGAATTGAGCATGATTGGAATGAAAATGGGAATTTCATTGTTTTCTAGAATTGAGCATGCCCACATAAGATTCTTCGGTTTATTTTTGAAAGTGAGAACGATCGTGGTTTCTGTAAATCTTGCTTGGTTTTGTCTCCGATATGGTCGTGTAATCGTGACCCTGCTAGTGGGGGAGGTTACAAACACTAGCACATGTCGACATGTTCGTGATAGAACCGGTTCGCTCGTGGCCCTACTAGTGGGGATTATACGCTAGTACTCGTGTGCCTGCCAGTGGGAACTGGCCATGACTAATAGAGGAGACCACTACGTGATTTTATTTTGCATTAATGATTTGTTATTGAAACGCCCTGTTCATGTTTCAACCGATTATTTGGCATGCTTTAAACTTTGATGTC